GGGGGCAGGAATTTCGCAACACTTAACAGGGACCTTGCCTCCACCCCCTTCTTCCCCCCCACACCTCCCCCCACACCTCCCACCCACTAGAGGTCGGACGAGTTTGATAATAATTGACGAAATCCAGTTATTTTAACCCCGGGGAAGGAGGGGGAAAGAGAGGGTGGGTGGGGGGAATTGAAGGTATTCGAGAATGTATCGTGTTTTCGACTTCAGGAAATATTTGAATGTGTAATGAAGTGTATCATATGAACAGTTGTTATGTGTCATTTACGTAGCAAACAACCAAGGCAAACAAGCTGCTGATGTGACTAGTTTCGCCTGTTTGAGTTTGTTTGGAATACATCCTCTTAGCTTTCCCCCTCTTTTCAGCTCTTGAGATATAGGGGGTATAGCAGTGGGATTGTTAGTCTGCCAGTCATCTCTTCAGTCAATCCTTCAGTCATACTCCTTCAGTCAATCCTTCAGTCAATCCTTCAGTCATACTCCTTCAGTCACACTCCTTCAGTTCAGCCTTAAATGACTTGGTTTCCTTTGCCTAACTTTATTATACCATGGATGGCTTTGAGAGAGAGAGAGAGAGAGAGAGAGAGCCGACCTTGTTTTCTTACTCTCTCAGGTAAGTTCAGGGATCACACAAGTAGTCTGGACAGGTCTTGATAAATGCAACACTAAAAGTTCATATGTCAGGGGCACTATTGTTATTGTTCGTGACCATAGACTCAATTGTGTGTGTGTGTGTGTGTGTGTGTGTGTGTTTCGAATTGATGGACAGTGACGCTCGGGAGTTGCTTGTCTTTTGGATTGAGAATTGTTGGTCAATCATCAGGGGGGGAATTCCCTCTTGTACTTGCTGCTGTTATTGTTATTCTTGTTGTTGTTGTTGTTGTTGTTGTTATGAAGCACCTGGGCAGTATAATCTTCCATTAATGGCTTTAATGGCTTTCTCAAACAGACAAATACGCGAAGCATCTTATTTGGGCTTGTCGAGGCCAAGGTGTTGACTCGCCGAGGACACAGTGACCTTAATGGGGTGGAGGTGGTGGTCAGCTCAGTGGGTGGAGGTGGTGGTCAGCTCAGTGGGTGGAGGTGGAGGTCAGCTCAGTGAGTGGAGGTGGTGGTCAGCTCAGTGGGTGGAGGTGGTGGTCAGCTCAGTGGGTGGAGGTGGTGGTCAGCTCAGTGGGTGGAGGTGGTGGTCGGGGGGGGGGCAGGTGGTTGTTGTCGTCAAAACTACACAACATAACTCGTGCTCAGTAAAAATGAACCTTGAGAAAAATGTACAATAAATATTTCAAAACACCTTCAGGAATTTATGGTGAGTTAGCTTGTTTACATCATCGTCAGCGGGCGGCGTAGATGACGTCATAATATAAATACGCTGACGTGAAAAAACAAATGAACATCACCAATAAATGCTTCAATACTCTACTGAGAACTTATAAAAGCACCATTTCCATTTATCTATCTTATATTTATCTGACGGCACCTATCGCTGCCTGGGGGTGGGGAAGGTCAGGTCAGGTCAGGTCAGGTAAGTTAGTGTCAGGGTGTTTAATAATCAGGTGAAAAAAAACTGGGATGCCTAATGTACAGGTGATCCTGATTTAATATTAATGTCATAATAGGATCATCAGTGTGTTAAATTGGGTCAGCGTTAATGAGTAAATTGGACTTAATGGTGGTAGTTAGTAGAGTGTTAATGACTTCTCTTAAAGCCAGGAAAAGATTATTATTATTATTATTATTATTACTTTGTTTTAATAATATTTTACCTAAGGACCTTCAGAGAACCTTACTTCATGATTTCTTGTCCAGATAATCAGACTGAAGTTCTCCTTGTCAACTATCTGTTCTTGTCTTACACTTTACTACGTCGTTTGTCTTGTCCTTCTGACATTATCTTTACTTAAGGGTAATTCTTTTTATTATTTGGGATAACATCTTGCTTGTTATTAATCCCCCGTATGTCTGTATGTCTGTGTTTGTTTGTTTTTAGTTGTGGTGATGTTTATTTGGTGTTATGGTTTTATTATTATTATTATTATTATTATTATTATTATTATTATTATTATTATTATTATTATTATCGTTATTGTTATTATTATTTTACATTATCAATTTTTGCCATGATGTAATTTTCAGTTCCTTGGTGGTATACCAATCCCGTAATCTACGTATAGGAGATTAGCTAATCTCTTCCTGGTGTAGACTAGGCCCTTGTACACTGCTGTGGGTTAGGGCACTTACTGATAAACTGAGATAAGAGAATGTAAGCGATGACTCACAGCACCATATGTCTAAGCCCAATCCATACTTTACAATCTGTGTCGTTTTCCAATCACTGTATCTACGGGATTTAGTGAGAGAGAGAGAGAGAGAGAGAGAGAGGTCCAACCGTTTCAAGTGGTACCTGTTTGCTATCACACACACACACACACACACACGTGGGTCTTTACAGCTAAATAGTTACCTTACGTTGCTGCGAGCTGTCGTGACGCGTTCTTGTAGGAGTCTGAACATGTGATTAATTAGGATTTTGTGAAGAAACTAAAACTGGAGACACGCGACCCACCTGTCTACTGCCTCATATGTGTTGATTGATGAGGGTGCCTGTGAATTAATTATTAAGAAAATATTTGTGTTTCTGTTTAGATATTTTCGAAACTGAGTATTCGGGTTTGGTAACGGTGTTATGTCAGTGTTGAAGGGGGAGGTATATATTACTGACGCGTATGTGTGTTTCAGCCGAGTCAGATAAGCTTGTAATATATATTTTTTTAATACTTGTTGACCACGATATAAGAACATAAGAAAATGAGGAGTCTGCATGGCAGCTCCTGTCGAGAGTTACTTCCACTCTCTATCATCCATGAATCTATCTAGCCTCCTTTTAAAACTTTCCAGCGTTCCAACACTTACTACAAAGTTGCTAAGCTTGTTTCACTCGTCCATCACCCTATTTGTGAACCAGTTCCTTCCTATCTCCCTCCTAAACCTAAACTTATCCAACTTAAATCCGTTGCTACGAGTCCTATCCTGTTCTGATATTATAAGAACTTTATCTATATCGCCTTTATTGATTCCTTTCACCCATTTAAATACTTCTATCATATCTCCCCGCACTCTTCGTCTTTCTAGGGAATGCAAGTTAAGTTTCTTTAACCTATCCTGATATGGAAGGTTTCTAAGTCCCGGAATCATTTTCGCCATTCTTCGCTGCACCGACTCCAGTGAATTGATATCCATTCTATAATAAGGGCACCAGAACTGAACCGCATAATCGAGGTGCGGCCTGACTAGCGCAAGATATAGTTGCAATAAGACCTCTGCACTCTTATTACTTACACTTCTAGATATAGAACCTAATACTCTGTTTGCCTTATTTCGAACATTAACGCACTGTTTTCTAGGCCGTAGGTCCGGGCTTACAAGTACCCCTAAGTCTCTTTCACAAGTCGACTTCTTTAGGTTGATGTTGTTAAGGCTGTATATATTGACAGTATTTGTTCTTCCAATATTAAGTACGCTGCACTTGCTGGTGTTGAATTTCATTTGCCATTTTTCTGACCACTCCTGCAGTTTATTTAGATCCTCCTGTAATGCATTTGCATCCTGCCCTGAATTAATCTGCCTCCCTATTTTGGTGTCATCCGCAAACTTGCTTATGTCACTGCTGATCCCAGTATCTAGATCGTTTATGTAGATTATGAACAAGAGTGGGCCCAGTATTGACGCCTGGGGAACCCCACTGGTTACACAGCCCCACTCAGATTTAACACCATCTACGGCGTAGATTCTACGCTGACCCTCTGTGTTCTATCGGTGAGCCATGATTTTATCCAATTTAAAACTTTCCCCTCGATACCATGAGCTTTAACTTTTCTCAGAAGTTTCTGATGCGGTACTCTGTCAAACGCTTTGCTAAAGTCTAAGTAATTAACATTGTAATTTTCGTCATTATCTACTACCTCGAAGACTTTCTTAAAAAACGTCAGCAGATTTGTTAGACAAGATTTTCCCTTTGTAAACCCATGTTGAGAGTCGTAGATTAATGTGCTTTTCTCTAAATGCGATCGGATGCTATTTGTTATAATTTATTCAAGAAATTTCCCCACTACTGACGTCAAATTAATCGGCCGGTAATTTGACGCTGATGCTCTGTCTCCCTTTTTGAATATGGGCACTACAATTGCCTGTTTCCACAAGTCTGGCACAACTTCCGTGTCTAATGATATTGTAAATAAATTTACGAGAGGTCCGCAAATCTGTTCCTTACGCTCTTTCAAAATTGAAATATTACATGTTTGTGATTATGTAACTGATATATGAAAACTGACGACATTCTTAACACTTATTAACATTCTAAATATAAACTGGAGCAAAATACCTGTCTTAATGATCTTTGTTATTTAAGAATTATATTAACAGCATGGTATCCGTGTTGTGTAAGTCTGATGCAACTCTTCTTGGTAGATGTCAGGGCTGCCAACTGTTGCGTCGTAAAGAGTTCGAAGGAGAAAAAAAAAGTCATTATTTACACAATTTCAGTATTTTTTCAGGTTATTTAGTCTCGTGTGGAATGAAGTGAAGACGAATAAGGTGGAAGATAAGGTTACTGGGTGTTTACACGAGGTTATAATTATTGAGAGTTTTTTCTTACATATTTAATTCTGATGAATGATGAGTTTTCCCTTCACCTTGCCCTCCCTCTCAGGCCGTCCCTCCCTCTCAGGCCGTCCCTCCCTCTCAGGCCGTCCCTCCCTCTCAGGCCGCGTGACGTCATACCCACACACGTGTCGCTCTTCCCGCCAAAAACAAATCAATCAACCAATTCTAATAATACACAGGACTTTGATCTCTCTGTCTCAATTTACTAACCAAAATATGATAAAAATTCATAATGAGGTAACTGCCGAGGAAGACAAGTGTGTGAATAAGTTTGATAACCGCCTGAAATGAGAGATAGTAGAGCAGGTTACTTAATCAGTGTACCTGTTGGACCACACGGCCAGTAGACACGGACCACAGTGACGGACAGTAACAGTTACAGTACGTGTGGAGGTGTCGTGTACGGGCAGACCAGAGACAGGAAAACAAACAGCAGACAACAGTAGACTATAGACCCTCTCCCCTGTATTGCCTGTTAGTGTACACGAGGCTGGAGTAACTTAAGAGATAGTGAAGCTTGATAGTACGGAGGAATGCTGGTGAAGATAAGGTGGTGGCGATGAAGGTGCTGCCACCAAGTTAGACGACAGACAGTTCCTGGTGGGACTGAAGGAGGAGCTTGGAGTGACTGATTAGGCCTTTAAAGGTCTTTACTTGAAGGAAAGGAGGAGCTTGGACGCAGTCATCCTCGACCATGTCTGGTGAGAAGACTCGAGTGTTACGTGTGTGTGTGGTCGGTGATGATATTTTTTGTTTTACTTTTTTTAAATATATGTTTGTTTGTATTTTTGTAGAGGGGTGTGTGTGTGTGTGTGTGAGGCGCGCGCGCAAACACAAGCATTCAAAACTAACCTAACCTAACACAGGGTATCTGGACATACGAACACATGAACTGGTGTGATTTTGTCCGTGTTTTGTGAACTTGTGTCTTGTGTGTGTAGGTATGATGTCCTATTTCCTATGGGCGTGTCTTAAAATGTTGTCTTAGAGGCTTCATACATGTCTTAATCGATGTGGACATGCCTCAGGTATTGACGTGAGTGTCCTAATGGTGTCTCACGTATTGATGTGGGTGTCCTAATGGTGTCTCACGTATTGATGTGGGTGACCTAATTGTGTCTCATGTGTTGACGTGAGTGTCCTAATCGTGTCTCGTGAGTTGACGTGAGTGTCCTAATGGTGTCTCACGTATTGATGTGGGTGTCCTAATCGTGTCTCATGTGTTGACGTGGGTATCCTAATCGTGTCTTTGACGTGGGTATCCTAATCGTGTCTCGTGTGCTGACGTGAGTGTCCTAATCGTGTCTCATGTGTTGACGTGGGTGTCCTAATCGTGTCTCATGTGTTGACGTGGGTATCCTAATCGTGTCTCGCGTGTTGACGGTGTCCAATCGTGTCTCATGTGTTGGCGTGGGTGTCCTAATCGTGTCTCATGTGTTGACGTGGGTATCCTAATCGTGTCTCTGCGTTGACGTGGTAACCAAATGCGTCTCATGTGTTGACGTGGGTATCCTAATCGTGTCTCGTGTTGGCGTGGGTGTCCTAATCGTGTCTCATGTGTTGACGTGGAGTGTCCTAATCGTGTCTCATGTGTTGACGGGTATCCTAATCGTGTCTCATGTGTTGACGTGGGTATCCTAATCGCGTCTCATGTGTTGACGGAGTGTCCTAATCGTGTCCTCATGTGTTGACGTGGGTGTCCTAACTGTGTCCTTCATGTGTTGGCGTGGGTGTCCTAACTGTGTCTCATGTTGACGTGGGTATCCTAACGTGTCTCATGTGTTGACGTGGGTATCCTAATCGTGTCTCATGTGTTGGCGTGGGTGTCCTAATCGTGTCTCATGTGTTGACGTGGATGTCCTAATCGTGTCTCTTCATGTGTTGACGTGGGTATCCTAATCGTGTCTCATGTGTTGGACGTGGGTGTCCTAATCGTGTCTCATGTGTTGGCGTGGGTGTCCTAATCAATCGTGTCTCATGTGTTGACGTGGGTGTCCTAATCGCGTCTCATGTGTTGACGTGGGTATCCTAATCGTGTCTCATGTGTTGGCGTGGGTGTCCTAATCGTGTCTCATGTGTTGACGTGGGTGTCCTAATCGTGTCTCATGTGTTGGCGTGGGTGTCCTAATCGTGTCTCATGTGTTGACGTGGGTGTCCTAATCGTGTCTCATGTGTTGACGTGAGTATCCTAATCGTGTCTCGTGTGTTGACGTGGGTGTCCTAATCGTGTCTCATGTGTTGATATGGGTGTTGACCTCTTGAGCTGGTGAGGACCCACACTGATATAACTCTTAACAATCACAGTTTTTGAGAAACATGATTACTTCGCGTATCACTGGATCTCTTCCCTCCATCCTTCCCTCCTTCATTCCTCACTCTTCCTCCTTCATTCCTCACTTCCTTCCTCCTTCATTCCTCTCACTTCCTTCCCTTCATTCCCTCATTTCCTTCTCTCCCCTCCTTCCCTTTCTCCTATCCCGCCTTCACACACACACACACACACACACACACACACACTTCCTCCTCCTCCTCCTCTTCTTCCTCCCTCCTTCCTTCTTTTACCTCCTTTGTACCTCCTTCCTTTCCTCCTCTCCCTCCCTCCCTTCTTGCTTATTGTTTTCCCCTTTCCACCTCATAGGCTTAGGTTAAACTAGGTTAGGTTAGATCATGTCAAACTAACATATGACAGAACAACACAGTCCACAGAGCATATGACACCATGACATGACACAATGACGGCATAGCACCATGATATTTACACCAGTATATCATAACAGGCATGACAACATCAGTACCGTGACATATAGGGCAATATAACAGGAGCGACATTTTAGAAGAACATACTGTAATAGTCGTTTTAGAGTTCCAGTATTACATCGAACTAATACTGATCATGTGAATATTAGACACCCCAGGTTATTTCACCATGATTAAACACCTTAACGCTAACCAAACCTTATCTGGCCCTCCCCATGTAGCTCTAACGTGAACTGGTGAGAATTGACGTCAGAGCCGCTTTGTTTACACGGTTCCTTAAAACCCGATAAAATATTCTTGTGTGTAAACTCTTTCTATCCGTCGTGTGTAGAATCTATTATTATTATTATTATTATTATTGAACGTTGCCAGAAGTCATTGCAACGGTTGTTTGCTCTGGTGAAATTAAAAGAGTTGCTCAAGTGGCGTTATCTCAAATCATTGGACGCATTCTTTATATTGACGTAACTTTAGCTCAAAATACAGTCAAATTAATCACATGAGCCGTAAAATACCTCTATTGTGTAGTGGTGTATGTCGTTTAGCTTTACATTCGGTTTCTGAGCCCTGTCATAGGTCATCTCTGTGTCTGATGAGCAACTGTAACTACCACAGTGTCCCATCCAGGTAATCAAAGAAAACGGGCGCCAATAAGACTGATTTTATGGCTATCGTAAAGTCTTCTATTATTTTGCCTCTAAGTTGTTCGTGGTCTTATTTTTATCTTAGCTTTTTATAATACTTGTTATAATTAATTTTTACTTTCTTTTGTGTTCATGTATACTATATTAGTTAGAGAATTTGTTGTTAATGTGGGTTGGGGAAATTTTTTTTGGAGATGTAAAACGGCACCGAAATTTAGTTACAGGGACAAACTTCAAGCATAGAATCTTTGTGAGTACGGACCTAGACCCTCCAGAGTTACCATTCCTGTCTCGCCAGTGAATGGTCATTTTCCGGTGTTATCTGGGTGGTATGTTGCTCCAGGCATGTCGTTATCTTGTCTGGATCTAGTCGAGGAAATTCAGACACAGTCATAATCATAACCCATCGCCGCCGCCGCTGCTGCCGCCTCACAGTAGACGACTTCACACGACTGTACGAACGCATTTAGAATCTGGGTGTGAATCTGACAGTAAATCCGACATCGCAATATTTGTTTTCATTACGTCTTTCGTTTGATTCTTGTCCACGCTCATTCCTGTTGTCTTTTCACCTATTTTGTTGATTAAATCTTTGTTTTTTGTGCATATTTTGTTTCCCCATAGGCCTATAGATGCAAAGAAATAGTCTAGTGGTTTTTGTAAACATGTATGACGATTTTACATAATAAATATCTATCTGTCTTTGTCTGCATCTCTCTATCTATCTATCTATTTATCTATCTATCTGTCAGATATATAAACCTTGTAATAAAACTTCATACTTTAAGTCATACAGATGAGCTTTTTTTAATTGAGGTCGTTATGGTGTTCCCGCAGGTGAGGTAGAGTACTTCAGCATCTTAGACAACAAGGTAGCCACCAAGACCTACTGGGAGTCCCGTATGCTGGCCACCATGGACGACGGAGGCTGGGAGAGTGTGGCCAACGTCCGCTTTCAGCCTATCCCCGGGGCCACACCTGTCATCGTTCAGGTGAGTCAAAAGGCTAGGGTGATGAGAGATGGAGAGGAGAGGTTAGGGAGAGGCTACGGTGAAGAGAGAGGAAGAGGAGAGGGAGAGAAGAGGCTAGGGAGAAGACGAGGATGAGGGAGGAGAGGAGAGACGAGGATGAGGGAGAAGTAGAGAGAGAGAGAGGGGAGAAACGAGGATGAGGCAGAGGGAAGACGAGGATGAGGAAGAAGAGAGGGAGAGGAGAGACGAGGATAAAGGAGAATGAGAGGAGAGGCTAGACGAGGAAGAGGGACAAAATATGAGGATAGAGGAGGTGACTAGAAAGGGAGGAAAAAGGGAAAACGAAGTGTAGGGAATAGAGCGAGAAGAGGATGAGTGAGTGAGTGAATTAATAAGACAACTGAGAAAGAGAGGAGGGGCTAGGATAGAGAGAGAGAGAGAGAGAAAGAGAGGGGGGAGAGAGAAGAGGTGTAGGGGAAAGGATAAGAAAAAAGAGAGGAGCAGGGAAGATATTAGGGAGAGTGGGAGGAGAGAAGAGGATAGGGAGAGTAGGGAGAGAAAAAAGATGGACAAGTTGAGAGAATGGGAAGGCGAGAGAAGAAGAGGAGGGAGGTACTTTCAGCCTATCCTCAGGACGACTCTCACCTTCCTTCTGAGGGGTCACGGGGCTAGGAGAGAGAGAGAGAGAGAGAGAGAGAAGTGAGGGAGATTGAGAGATGAAATATATGATAGACAAATTTATCCACTTTGTCTCATTAGTATTTGAGGAAGATAGATAGATAGAGAATTTGGAACGTAGAGAGGGAGAAAATATTTATCTCAAGTCGAGCAGGTAAGGGCACACATGGAGCTAACAGACGCAGCTAGAAAATGAGACAGGACCAAGAAGCACCACCTTGGGAACTCTGCATCGTCACAGAGTCAACACTGAACACCACCCGAGGCTTTACATCAGACAAAGGGAGGGAAGGAAGGAAAGGGGAGAGGGGGAGGAGGGAAGGAACGAAGGAGGAACGGGAGAGAGGGGGAGGGAGGAAGGAAGGGGGGAGGGAGAGGGTCTGACTGACATATCTACTGTACAAATGACTCCTCCCGCATAAAGTCGTGATTGATTTTGATATCTTGTGAGTGACAGTAAAGGGCTGATGTTATCTTGTGGGTTTTATACACGATAACAGTCACTTCCTCTTGTGACAGCTTAATGGATATCGTAGAGGTAGGTTGAGTGGAATATTCTTGGGCTCACGTGATGAATGTGTACCCCAATTTCGTTCACCTGATGATTAGACACCTTATAACGCTAACCCATCCCATCTCAACCCAACCCAACCCCAAAAAACCCAACCCAACCCAACCTAACCTAACCTAACCTAACCTAACCTAACCTAACCTAACCCTCCAGGTAGCATTAGGGTGTTTAATCATCAGGTGACATAAGCTGGGGGAAGGGTCCTAATGTTTATGAGGTTCTGTTAATTGTATGATGACAGAAATGTGATAGTGGGTCTTGGTCAATTTCCCTCGGTATGTTGTGAATAAAAATCATCTTTGCTCTCCGTTTTGTTGGGCGTACAGATAGATAGATAGATAGATGGATAGGTAGATAGATAGATAGATAGATAGATAGATAGATAGATATTGAAATCTGTTCTATTATCGCCTTAAGACATCACCATTGACCAGATAGAGAGATTGAGAGCCATAAGACATCACCATTGACCAGATAGAGAGATTGAGAGCCATAAGACATCACCATTGACCAGATAGAGAGATTGAGAGCCATAAGACATTACCATTGACCAGATAGAGAGATTGAGAGCCATAAGACATCACCATTGACCAGATAGAGAGATTGAGAGCCATAAGACATCACCATTGACCAGATAGAGAGATTGAGAGCCATAAGACATTACCATTGACCAGATAGAGAGATTGAGAGCCATAAGACATTACCATTGACCAGATAGAGAGAATGAGAGCCATATGACATCACCATTGACCAGATAGAGAGATTGAGGTTTCATAAGACATCACCATTGACCAGATAGAGAGAGAATGAGAGCCATATGACATCACCATTGACCAGATAGAGAGATTGAGAGCCATAAGACACTACCATTGACCAGATAGAGAGAATGAGAGCCATTAGACATCACTATTGACCAGATAGACAATGAGAGCCATAAGACATCACCATTGACCAGATAGAGAGAGAATGAGAGCCACAGACATCACTCATTGACCAGATAGACAATGAGAGCCATAAGACATTACCATTGACCAGATAGACAATGAGAGCCATAAGACATTACTACTGACCAGATAGAGAGATTGAGAGCCATAAGACATCACTCATTGACCAGATAGAGAGAGAATGAGAGCCATTAGACATCACTATTGACTCAGATAGACAATGAGAGCCATAAGATATCACCATTGACCAGATAGATAATGAGAGCCATATGACACGCCATTGACCAGATAGAGAGAATGAGAGCTGGCAAGACATCACTCATGACCAGATAGATAATGAGAGCCATATGACATCACCATTGATCAGATAGAGAGAATGGTATCATATGACATCACCATTGATAGAGAATGAGAGCCATTAGACATCGCCATTGACCAGATAGAGAGAATGAGAGCCATTAGACATCGCCATTGACCAGATAGAGAGAATGAGAGCCATAAGACATCACCATGACCAGATAGATAATGGAGAGCCATATGACACCATTGACCAGGATAGAGAGAATGAGGAGCCATATGACATCACCATTGACCAGATAGATAATGAGAGCCATGATTACCATTGACCAGATAGAGAATGAGAGCATAAGACATTGACCAGATAGACAATGAGAGCCATAAGACATCACCATTGACCAGATAGACAATGAGAGCCATAAGACATCACCATTGACCAGATAGACAATGAGAGCCATAAGACATTACCATTGACCAGATAGACAATGAGAGCCATAAGACACCACCATTGACCAGATAGACAATGAGAGCCATAAGACATTACCATTGACCAGATAGACAATGAGAGCCATAAGACATCACCATTGACCAGATAGACAATGAGAGCCATAAGACATCACCATTGACCAGATAGACAATGAGAGCCATAAGACATCACCATTGACCAGATCTCTCACACCCTCAGACGGACGACGCCACAGAGACAGTTACACCTCCACCAGAGTTCATCCCAGCACCGCCACCACAGTTCGACAATTCCCCCATCGAGTCGGAGGAGTCGTCGCCGCCCTCTCTGGAAGCACCCCCAACCAAGCAGACCCCACCTGGCCCTCTTATTACCCAGGACGCTAGACCCACCAAGCAGTACGTCTACGGCATCACCGATACAACGCCCAAGGTAGAGGGGAGACAAAGTAATGACAGCACAAGGGTTAGGTTAGGTTTGGGTAAGTTAAACTTAAGTTTGTTAGGCTAGGTTAGGTTTAGTTAGGCTAGGTTCGGCGAAGTTAGTTAGGCAAGAGTAGGTTAGTTTAGGTTTGGCTTGGTTTCGTTAGATTAGACTTAGGTTAGGTTAGGTTAGGTTAGGTTTGGATTCTCACCTTATGTGTACACTCGATTCATAAAGTATTTTCAAATTTTTTGTTAGACAATATGACACAACGGACGAATAATTTTGACAACTGTACTGAGATAACAGGAGCAGTGGTGTTCATTTTGATAAGCTTTGGTCCCCACCTTGCAGATATTTTCTGTAGGGAGTGTACTTTTTTACTCTATTTTTTATTATTATTATTTTTATTTTGCTTGGTGGGGATAACGGAAGGGGTCAAGTTATGACAGTCTCAGGGTAATTTTGATACTATTTTGTGTTATGATATAGACATTTATAACCAGTTACATGTATCGACACATCCTGATTATGTTGTCTATACAGGTATTTGGTTTATTTACGATGTTTTAATCAGTAGGTTCAGTTTTAGTTTGTCTGAGATTAGTGGTTCATAGTCTCAAGGGTTGTACAATAATTTTTAAAGGATTTAATAAGAAGAGATTGTTGGGATCACCTGAAGAATCTCCACCCCAGCTTATTTCACTTAAAAATTGACCGCCCTAATGATATTGGGGGGGGGGGGTGAGGTTAGCGTTAGGGTGGATAATCTTTAGGTGAAGTAAATTGGGGTGGATTTCTTCGGGTGTTCCGTTTGTTAATAGTGCCAAGTTTTTTTGAAATCCTTATGTTTCCTCAGGAGATGCGCAGCAGTGCTCGTATAGTGGAGACAGTAGCCAAGAAGCCTCCATCACAAGAAAGCGCCATAGAGGCAGAGATCCGCGCCCAACAGCTGAAGGAGGTAGAGTTGCGCCAGCATGGGACGCTCAAGAACACGGTGGGGCGTGAGAAGGGCGCTTCCTCCCCTGCCAGCCATGAGTCCGATGAGGGCTTCGTGGACCGTCTGGCTGAGGACGTCCCCGCTGTCCCCAACAGTGGCTACACACACGCCATCCCCGGCAATGATGGTGAACCTGTCATCTATGATGCCGTCAGCCCTCCACCTGAATACTTCTCAGAGAGGTTAGTCCATATTAGTCATAGAGAATAGTGACGTACATATTCATTGGAGTCTGTATTGCTGTTGGGGTAGTTGTTTGATTGATTGAGACAGTTTATTTAGCCAGACAAACACAGATACAGAGTCGATAATAATAACAATATTAACATGACTGAGCCAGTTGAGACCCAGGGCTCTCTTGTAGGCACCTGATATACATGGGTGTACTGTACAGTACATTTATCTCAAGGAAGTATAATATAACATTTAGTATCATCTGGAATAGTACAATAGCATGGTGGTAATAAGAACATATCAGAATGTTACCACGGTTATCTCTTCGATATTTATTTATTTTATTTATTTATTTACTTTATTTTTTTTTTTACATTTGTTATAAATATATACATAAGTTACAGTGGAATTGAAAAATATAAATATAATGAGGGAAGCAGTACAACATGGGTTGTATTAAGGTTGAACAAGAGGACAGAGCTGTCAGAATTATGTCTAGTTGGCAAATATATTTTTTGCAATGTTAATTTCTTATCTATCTACATGATAATTTCTGATAAAACGGTTCTGATGGTACAATAAAAGCAGGTATATAAAGTAGGCATTACACTGTACGAGAAATATTAATACTTAGACAATAGATATTTTTTAAGAAATGATTTAAAGGAAGGGAGAGTCGTCTTTGCTCAGATGGGTGGGGTAAGTTGTTCCACACCTTCACACCATGATATTTTATGGAGGTCTGGGACTGAGAGGAGCACATAGAGGATGGTCTTAGTAGCTCTTGGTGCCTTAAGTTGTATCTCTGAATATTCCAGAACTGGAAATAATTTTTGTCAAGCAAGTAATTGACAGATTTGTTAACAAATAGAGCACAACAGTAGGTGTTAATATCCTCGAATTTTAACATTTTTTTTTAAGTAGGTCATTGTCCGCACAACTCTTTGTGCAGTAACCAGGGATTGGGTTTTTGAAGAGCCACAGGCCCCCCATAGTGTGTGACAGTGTATCAGGTGTTGGTAAACAAGATCATAATAGATTTCTTTCATTGTTGTGAGAGTGAGTGACTGTCGAGTGTGATACATGATACATGAATGGCTTGTATGTGGTTTCTCCAATTAAGTTTCTCATCAAAAATAACCCCAAGGAATTTTGTATTTTGTTCGTGTTTGAGGACTGTATTACCAAGGTACAAGGGTTCCAAATCTGGGGTAAGTTTTTCCTTCTGTGAAAGATCGTGTAGTGGGGTTTTTTGAGGTTTAAGGTCAGTTTATTGCGTATTACCCAGGTCCTGACTTTAGTCAATTCAGTGTTCATAGTTCTCATCAAGGAATGGATGTCTGAGTTGCTGGCACTGTATAGAGATTACTATTGTCTGCAATTAAGTTGTATTTTATGAGTGTACTGGCATAGACTATGTCTTTTATGTACAACAAAACCAGTACTGGACCGAGCATGGAACCTTGGGGGACGCCATACAAGATTGGCTTACTGCTTCCTGTTGGACAGATATTAGGTAAACCAATTGTGGGACAGGCCCCTAATGCCGTAATGTTCAAGCTTTGAAAGGAAGATGGTATGGTCGACAGTATCGAAGGCTTTAGAGAGGTCCAAGAATATACCGACTGTGAACTGACTGTCATCAAATGAGTTTAAGATGTCATTAGGAAATAATAACAGAGCATTTCCAGTCGACCTTCTTGCTCTAAATCCAAACTGGGAGTCTGTAAAGATGTTATTAGCATTGCAGAAGGAATTTAGTCTACTACATGCTCGCTTCTCCAGTATCTTACTCAAGGCTGGGAGGACTGATATGGGGTGATAATTCTTGAAGAGACCTTTGTCCCCAGATTTTTTATATGCAGTGAATCAAGTGTTGGTATGTATAAAAAATTCTAGGTTGATAATTGTAGTTTTTGGCGTTGTTAATTACAGTATTTCAGTTAGTTAACAAAAGTTGGAGATGGTGATTTGGATCATTACCGAGAGAGAGAGAGAGAGATGATAATATGACACCTATACTGCAGGAACACCCCCACACCAACTGCGTCCACCACGGAGACCAAGATTGCCCTGGAGATCCGTGAACTGAAGGAACGCGAGGAGGAGCTGCGTCAGATGAGAGAACGCCTTATGGGCTCGAGGGAGAATTTGCTTGATGATGAGGAAGTTAGGAGCTCAGCCTCGAGGGAACAGCTTCTTGAGGACCACCTGACCTCCCTCACCACCACGACAGATGAAGGAAACTTCTCTGAGTGTGGTGATCCAGCATCCTCTGAGGACAAAAGTAGTGACGGATCAAACAGGTAAGATAAGATCATATGGGCGAAGGTGATAAAGTTAATACAATATGGGAGAAGGTAATACAATAGGGGAGAATATGATATAATATGAAAGGAAATAATACAGTACAGAAGATAATACACCGTATCTGAATAATGCAGGCATACAGTTCTGCATGCATATAGACAACGCAGGTATACATTGTACAATTTTCAATGTACCTCGACAGTGCATGTATACAAACAGTGGTAAACAGTAAAGCAATTTGACCAAGAATAACTAACACAGCTATCAGATGCTTATACTATATATATATACTAGGGTCCTTCTCTTAGGCTTGGTTAATAATCAATAATAATAAATTCCAAGAATAAAAGTAAAACTATATTGATGGTTATAACATTAAATATTCCATTGCTGTTAGACTGTATGAGGCCGATGGTATGAGGGTAATATAGATATAATGTTAAGATAGGGATGAATAATATAAAACAAACAAAAATATATGAGTAAAAGGAAGAAAAATACAATTATAAATAGAGAAAAACTGCAAAATAAGTAAATAAATAAATAAATAAACATGCAACTTACTATAAAAAAATAAATCAACAAATTCTTACTTCCTCTTCAGCATAACGCCACATTTTTATTTATTTATTCATTTATTTGTACTGTATACTTTATTTATTTATTTTTGCATATTACCGTTCAACATAGTCCAAGTGCAGTGACTCGCCTTAAACACATAGCAGAACGAACTGACCATTTATTATGAATTATTTGTACCAAGTAATGTATAGACTCCTCAAAAGTACCAGGTTCTTATACAAATGAACCCGAATAGACCACTTAATGTGTTGTGGGTGCTTCTCTACGCTCTCCTCGCTGGACCACATAACCCACCAGGAATTTGAGAGCTGGTAATTTGTGGCTACTTGGTGGGTCTCAGGTCCGTTGGGTGTCCATTAGAATAATCCTACACCCTGGTATTATATTTGGGGTAGCTGCACTAACACAGTTCTCTGAGAAGGAAATATTACAGGAGTACTTGGTGTGCAGTGCAGATATTTGAGTACAGTACAGTAATGTCTATTACAGGAATATACACCATCAGAGTACAGTACTAAGAATCGATCATAAACTACTGGTCTGTATTCATTAGGTGTATCTTGTATTAACTAGAAGACCAGCCAGATGGTCACAACCAAGTGATATTTAAATTGATTAATATATTAATGCCCAAGCCGATATTAATTCTTGATGATGGTTTTGCCAAGACATACCTGAGACATCATTAAGAAATGCCACGGTGATACTGTGCACTGTGTTGACGTGTTGCAAGACAGGCACAGGATAGTTTATTACCTGTATAGGTATATTTTTTTTAAATATTAGAAGTACGTGGGATTAATTTATTTGCTATACAGTATTAATAGGAACTGCCAACATCTAAAGTACAAAGTCGGTTATACTATTTTTTTTATTTTCAAGAAGTGATCAGTAATTTCTTTGTTTTCTTATCTAAAATTAACAAATGTCTCCTATTATAGATCACAACCCTAAGTTAAAACGGCCACAAGAGCAGAAATATATTAGAGCTCACATTTTTCGAGTGAGAATTGTAAACTGTTAGAATAATCTGCCAGTGTTGTGGCAGCAGACTTGACCAACACTGTCTTAGGTTAAGGTATATTCTGGAGCCAGTACATGACCAGAATTTACCAACAGTGCATAACAGGTACGTGACCGATCGCCCAACCTGCTAGAAAGGAGACTACAGGTAAAGGTACAAGGCCAGGCAAGGTAAAGACAGAACCTGTTATGCTAAACATCTTATTGTGACAATAATATAAACAATAAATCATTGCCGGTCCTGGACATTAGTCTGTCAGATGAAAGTAGATAACGAAATATTTTTTGTTTGTTAATACTTGAATCATACTGTATATGTAAAGCCGTTACATTGTGAAGGCTTCATCATCAGCACCGATTTTGTTGTTAATGTTGGGATTATCATTAACACGAGAAGGATTTCATTGATGACTGTTCAAAGGGGCCACAGTTTCAAAAGACTTCAACCTAACCTAACCTAACCTAACCTAACCTCTTCGGTAGGAATGGTTCCCAGTACTAATAATCCTCATTCTTGATGGATCTCAGTCTTAATACAGTACAGTACAGTAGTTAGGTAAGGTTAAATTAAATTAAGGCCTATTAAGATTAGTGTTCATTTGACCCACAACCTTTGTATCTGTGCTGTATTTACAAGCTCTGCTTCTATTACCCGGTACAGTCTATAGTACAGTATGGTAAAGGTGATACGTACACAGGATAGAGAAATTACACATGAGAATTTTTCTATACAAGATAATGTATAGCAACATTAGCCACTTCTCATATTTATTTTCACTTTGAAGGTGTTGTATTTCCTGTATCTAATTGTAAATGGAATTGTGCTGTTTGGACACATAAGGAGATGGATGGCATTAAAATTCTGAGGCTATATTAATGTTTTATATATTAAGACTGAATGTGAAAAGGACCTGGGTGTGTATGTCGACAATGAACTGAAGGTCTCGGACCATTGTGAAAATAAAGTAAATTAAGCAACTAAGCTATTAAGTGTTATAAGATGATCCGGCCCTCATAATGCTCTCCAAAAGTGAGGTGCTTCCCCATTTGAAGTACTGTACTGTCACTCTGTCTGTTAGTGATTGTCACTTGATTGAGAACATCCATAAGAGGACCACCAGATTGGTGCCTGCACTCTGGCACCCCAGTTACCCAGAGAGATTAGAATGTCTGCAGTTGCTATGATAGGCAGGCAAGGAGTGATTTAATATAAGTTTATAAGCACCTCAGACGACATTATTCGGATGAGTGTTCATAAGGAAGTAGTGGATACCCGCCTCATTAGGAGTCACAGCCTCAGGTTAAAGAAGCCATAAGTTTAGATGATTATCAGGGCAAACTTTTTGGGGATGACAGTTGTGAATTCTTGAAATAATCTGCCAGTGTGTGTTGTGACGGTACCGAGTGTGAGTTCATTCAAGACCAGACTTGACCACCACTGGCACAGGTACAGATACATTCTGGAGCCAGTACTTGCCAACAGTGTGTAACAGAGACGTGACCAACTGCTTAAGCGGCTAACGAGCAGATCATTGGTGAAGAGGATAAAGAAAAATTATATCTTGCATTAGTGGATTAAAAAGTGGTTTCAGCAAGCACTTTAAATGTTAGATATTTTAAGTAGTATTAACTCGGTATAATGTCTTCAAATTTATTAGACTAAATTATAATATTCTTCATTGTGTTTCCGATCAGTGTAACCAGAAGAGAATTTGTGTTTGACCTCTTTTTGTCCATTGTTATATTTGATCATAAACAGTGTCAGGGTATTAACTACTGTGCAGATGACCTATACATTAAACATAGGAGTTAATTACCATTGTGTTCTGAATGCTGTTACACTGAAATATGTTTCACCAGATTGAAAAGGGCGGTTTGGTGACTATATATTTTTTTTTCATTTCCATCAATAATTCTGTAATAAGCGTAATTACAATGTTCCTTTTACTTGACCTTCTAATTCTCCATTCACTCTCATGGTCACTGAAGCGTCAAGGTGTTCGCAGATGACACTAGCGTTCATTACTCTATTAAACTTTATATACTTTTTACTTACTTTTATCCTCTTCACCACTGATCGGCTCGTTAGCCACTTGGGCGATTGGTCACGTCTCCGTTACGCACTGTTGGCACCTATACCCATTTACTCCCCCTTAATAAATACACTAGAACATTTGTCTTATTCCAGTGCATAACCAGAATTTCGTGTAGGGTTTAGCATGTAAAGTCTCTCTCATTCCTCCGTAAACATTATGACCAAGTTGATGAGTATTTTCAGACGTGTTCTCTCTTGACACAGTTATTCAATAAACCTTATCTTTTTATCTCACTTATCATCTGTAAGGAATGAGATCAGCTTATCAATCTCTTCAGTATCGTTATCATTCGTTTTCTCTGTTCACTAAAAGAATATATATTGATAAGAGTTAATTATATCCTCCCCCTTTTTTTCCCTCATCGAAGAGTAAAAAAAAGGTACTAATCCATTTTATTTGTCACTATCAGCTCACACTCCCAAATTCGCTCTGTGTTAGTCGTCATCTTGCTGGTGAACGTTAAAGTGTGTGTGGGTGGGAAGTCTAACATTCCCTCAAGCAGTGCAAGTGTGAGTTATTTGTGTTAACTTTGGATAACGTGAAGATTAACCACCCCGGCGCTTTTCACCTTAAGATTAACCACCCGAGAACTAACCTAATCTAACTTAACATCACCTCACCTGACCCCACCTCGTTAACCTAACCCCCAAGGTAGCGTTAAGGTGTTTATTCATCAGGTAAACTATTATGTGTAGCGTTTAATTTTGATTATTCCTACATAATGCATTAAACAGATCATCTCGAACGAAACTAATTAAACCATCTTTTAAGTTCTGTTTGATTAAATTAGGTTATTTAGATGCATATTCTCTTTAGCGTCGTAGTCTCACAGATCGGACAATGGTCGTATGCTCTTTGCCTCCATATATTATACAGGTATTTTGTAATTCTAACTAACATTATTTAGTTTGTTTATATTTGAGCTCGTGAAGAAAGTGTAGAAGTATAGATGGAATATTTGGTGAAAAACAATATTTTATTAATGTAATATTAAGCAGTAATACGAGAACACTAAGCTTTAATATTACGTCTCGTCATTACATTATTTTCATAAACAAAAGCCTTCACATATACAGGTGTACTTGTAACTTTTTTTTTGGTTTACATTCCTCAACCTATTATATTTTCTGTGTTATTTGATAGAAAATTACCTCCTTTGGCCTCGAAAGTTCTTAAAAAGTTTATCATTAATATGTCTTCATTTGTAAAATATTACGCAATTAAAGATATCCATATGAATCGACTTCCTGTTTGCCAATGTTGTTTACCTGCGCTGTCATTGTACTGTACTTGTTGAACCAATGTAAATTTGAAAGATACTGAATAACCATCTATGTATTAACTGTATCTATGTGGCTATATATGTATTTGTCTATATCTGCAGAAGAAAGAGAAGAAAAAATATAGTTTGTGTTAAAGAATTTGAGTGTCAAAAGGTGTGTATGTTCACAGAAAACGGGTGAGCAGTAACTGAAATATTTAGAAAAATTTAGTGATCCCGCAATGTGTGTATTGTGTGGTTTGGGTTATAGATAAACTGATAACTTGTTGGGGTAGATAAATAATACACCAAGAGATAATATAATATGATAAACAGTAGATTAGAAGATAAACTGATATAAGAATAACATATTGGTACTGTACAGGTATATATGCATCAGATAACCTATTAACCTGTGCTATTTTCTTCGTGTGTTCCAACAGCCGCATCATGTCCCCAGACCTTCACCACCCTGGTACCAACCTAGACTACGGCCGCAGAAAGGTCACCGTCAAGCCCTTTGAGGACGAGGAGGAAGATCAACCCGTCTATACAAGGTCGGTAACATTTTCTAGTTGGCGGTAAAAGGTGGGCTTGGGTAGAAAGTGGTGGTTATGTTGACAACTTGTATATTTTATCAGGAAACAGTCGGGTTAAAGAGATTTTGACCGTGTGTGTGTGTGAGTGTGTGTGTGTGTGTGAGTGTGTGTGTGTGTGTGTGAGTGTGTAAGGACACGCGAAAGGGATTTAGAAAATGATTAGTACAACATATTTATCATTAGTTTATTATGAACATCAGTTGAACTTTTAATATCTCGTTACCATTAAATTAATTATACTTAGCGATTATTTTACCCCCTCGCAGATCATTCAGGAATTGAATATAATCGATAATGTAAATAAAAAGTTGTAGTGAACGTCATCTCACGGGAAACATCAGTCTGGGTGCTGTGGTGATAAAGGTTAGTGTGTTGCCGCCAGCTGACCACACCCTTACCTGTCTGTCCACCCTACTGCAGCTGGTTCCTCTGTTTATAGTCGTCCCCCCCAAAAAAAATATTCCCGGTGAAAGGGTCTCGTTACATGGGAGTATGATGGTTGTTAGGATAGCTTTAATTACCCGGCTGTGAATTAAGACTTTTGTGGTTCAGAGACAATTTGGGCCGAAGATCATAAATAATTTGATTTGTTTTCTCTAGTTAAGCCCTTGAGTACGGTGCCTTTCTCTTGAGTACTATGAATCCATCCAATGAGTTATATCTATCTCGGAGTACGACAACTTGACCGCTTGAGTACACTATTTAACCTCTTTGTATACGATGGCTATTCCCTTCGAGTACAATAACACTGTACTCGCGAGATTACGTCATCGTACTCAAGGGGTGCATTATAATCTACATTCTACATACATTCACATGGAAAATTCAGCATTGTGACATTTATACACCTGTCTGATATTTATACTCTGGATCCCTTAAATTTTCTTATCCGTCTTTAATGTTTACAGTTAACGAGTAAGATTGATATATGCGATAAATATGTAAATTTTAAGTGTTTATCTGAGCATATAACCTCCATTAACTGTTGACATTAATACTTACATGGAAAAGTGAAAATTGTTGGGGAACGAACGAGATAGTTACGATAATTATGTAAATATTACGTTTTTTTTTTTACGTATCGTTATCTTGTATAATTCAGGGTAGGGCTTGTTTGTTGTGGCGATACCTTAACATTGTGACGTTAGGACATTGGTGGAGAGGGTAAGATTAGGACATTGGTGGAGAGGGTAAGATTAGGACATTGGTGGAGAGGGTAATATTAGGACATTGATGAAGAGAGTAATATTGGGTGTAAATCGACGTAGACTCAGGTAGGAAGATGATTGACTACGATAGGTGAGTGTGTCGTAATTTCAGGAAAGTGTTTAATGCGTTCACACACACACACACACATACGTTCAATTTTCCTCATACTTCACCTAAATGGCTGAATTAAACCGAAAACACCCAATTAACGGTCAAAATGGCGTCACAATTGGACTTAGACTCGACCTTGAGATTTACACACTTACCGCCAGCCAGGGGATAGACCAAATAACATAAGTAATAGTTGTGAATGTGGGCCAGACATTACTAAGTATCGCTCCGAGGAATCTACGACAACTCTATTCCCTTGACACGACCGTTGTAACCCGGACCCAGAGCTGTTTAATGCGTGAGATGATGATTGAATTTTTCTTCGTAAACTGCAATTGCGAGTAATATTGACAATTAACTGTTGTTCTAAAATGATATCCGAAGTTTAGGAAGTAAAAAGTAGTACGTGGAACACATTGATATCTTAAAGTGAAAAAGACGAATTTAAAAATGATCAGTGACGCTAACTATATCACCAGCGCCCTCCCCCCACCCACCCCCGCCCACCTACTTCCCCCGTGACTCGACCAATCACGAGCTTCCTTTTATTTGGCTCCGTTATAAGCTTGGAGTGAACAGAGTAAAGGTGGTTTTTCCTCTTATCTTTAAGGTGACCCACACGGAAGTCCCTCTCTGCTCCTGTGATCACAATACAATGAAGTAAGACTCGTTAGAGGAGATAAATAGGAGGGGGGGGTAATTAGCCTCAATTGATGACCCCAGATTAGGGACGGTACGGTAATTAAGGTGCCTGTGGGTGAGACTGCTTGCCTTAAGGAGGGAGGGTTTGTGTTGGTTAGGTTAGGTTGGTTAAGTGGCGTGGTCACCTGTGTCTCGTGTGTACAGATGGGTCTCTCTCTCTCTCTCTCTCTCTCTCTCTCTCTCTCTCTCTCTGTTTGTCTGTCTTTAGGTGTGTGTGTGTGTGTGTGTGTGTGTGTGTGTGTGTGTGTGTGTGTGTGTGTGTGTCCTACGATCAACACAACTCCACGTGTCGCTATGAATGTGTTTGTTATAATGTGTTCACTCAGTCTGTGTTTCGCCTATAAAAGGAAAAAAAAAACAAATCACCCAAAACACGAAGACAGGACTAGAGCAACGTGTATAAAAGAAGACAGTCAGTATACATAGCTCGTAGTGTCTTTTGATCAGTATACATAATCGGTGGTGTCACTATTCAGTATACATAGCCCGTAGTGTTGAGTAAAGCAGGAGGGTGTAGACGACTGTTGCAAGATACGGCCGAGTTGTCAGGTCGTGTTTCATATTTACTCTTGGCCAGGATTCCCAAAGGTTCACAAATTATTATATAATTTTCCGTAAATATTGGGAGGGAAGGAAGGGGAGGGGGGAGAGGGAGGGAGAGGAAGGGGGGTGGAGAGAGGGAGGGAGGAAGGGGGTGGGAGAGGGAGGGAGGAGGGAGGGTGAGAGAGGGGAGGGGGTAGGGAGGGTAGGAGGGGTGAGAGAGGAGGGGAAGAGGAGGTGGGGGGTGAGAGAGGGAGGGGAGGAAGGGGTGAGAGAGGGAGGGGATAGGAGGAGGGGTGAGAGAGGGGAGGGAGAAGGAAGGCAGGGGGTGAGAGAGGGAGGGAGGAAGGGAGGGGGGTGAGAGAGGGAGGGAGGAAGGGAGGGGGTGAGAGAGGAGGGGAGGAAGGGAGGGGGGGAGGGAGGGGGAGGAGAAGGAAGGTGAGAGAGGGAGGGAGGAAGGAAGGGGTGGGAGAGGGGAGGGGAGGGAAGGAGGGAGGAGAGAGGGAGGAAGGGGAGGGGGTGGGAGAGAGGGAGGGGAGGAAGGAAGGGGGGAGAGAGGGAGGAGGAAGAGAGAGGGGAGGGAGGAAGGGAGGGGGGTGAGAGAGGGGAGGGAGGAAGGGAGGGGGTGGGAGAGAGGAGGGATAGGAGGGGTGAGAGAGGAGGAAGGAAGGCAGGGGGTGAGAGAAGGAGGAAGGAAGGGGGTGAGAGGGAGGAGGAAGGGAGGGGGTGAGAGAGGGAGGAGGAAGGGAGGGGTGAGAGAGGGGGGGGAGGGGTGAGAGAGGGAGGAGGAAGGAAGGAAGGGAGAGGGGAGGAGAGAGGGAGGAAGGAAGGAAGGGGGTGAGAGGGAGGAAGGAAGGGGGTGAGAGAGGGAGGGGGTAGGAGGGGTGAGAGAATGGATGTAGTTGCAATAGAGTCTGTATTTAAGGAATGATTGGTGTATGTTAAACAATACTGTGTGGGGGCCAGATATGGAGTGGGTGAGTTAATGTAATGACTGACCACCACCACCTACTGATTTATGTATTTTATTATTATTATTCTCGTAGACGGGATGACCTTCGTGATGTGAGTGTCGTCTGTACCTTAATTAATGATCTGTCTATCTATCTATCTATCTATCTATCTCTATCTATAAGAACGCAAGAATGGAGGAATCTGCAGCGGGCCTATTGACCCATACTGGGCAGTCCCGTTTACACCCAACCCCTATTGCCTATATATCCATCCAACCTATGTTTGAAGCTATATAGCGTATTCGAGTTAATGATGATGTTTGGTAACTTGTTCCACTCATCCACTACTCTATTTCCAAACCAATGTTTACCTGTCTCGCGCCTAAATCTAAATTTGTGTAATTAAAAACCATTGCTACGAGTTATCTCGAGAAACAAAAGCACTAAAAAAATTTTTTATTTGGCACACACACACACACACACATACACACACACCCTAGAGCCACTAAGTTATTGAGGTCAACAGGTCAAAGGTCATTACTTGTGCCACCTGTAGCAGTTAGTCAACACGTAACTCAGTGCAATTCTCATTTTTTTATTGTTCATTGTTTTTATATTAGTTCCATTTACCACTGATTTTTTTACTGCCATATTTCACCAGGACCATTATTACTATTTTTGTCACGGCGTCAATTAATTCACTTCAGTTTCCGCCAAGCTGGATTTCACGTAGTTAGTCTCCGCCTACTAACGGAACGGGACGTCATTTCGAAGGCTGACCTCAGACTTGCTGGAGTGTTTGTGTGTTAGGTAACAGATGCATCTGGCGCGAGTCATTCACTGAGCATGACACCATGACTGGGAAAAATAGAAGCCATTATGTTTCATACACAAAAATAGTTGAGTGACAGAGACAAGACGTCATTATGGAGGAGGTGGGCGCTAAGAGGTCCACAAATTACTCTATACACTGGGGAAATTTTCGTCTCGTGTTTATTGTAGTTAACTAGAACATGAGCGTAATTTATTTTGCATTATGTATATGTTAGAATTTCCGTACGCAAACTAACATGGATCAGGTTTAAGCTTAGGTGATTCACAGTGGCAATTGATTTGGTGGGAAAATACACCTGGACGATGGTTCTTTTCGCCCCAGATTTTCCTTCATCGATACGTATATATTTTCCTCAAGTGTCGCCATTATTCCTTGTCTACCATTTTTACGACCAGTTTCGCCTGGAAATTAAAAATACGTAATTTTTCGTTGAATTCCATCATTCTGGCTCTGTACTCAAGCATTCCTATGTTGACAATCTTCAAAAAATTCTTAATTGCGCATTTAGTTTAACATAACTGGATCTTTTTGTTATTATGTAAACTTCAGTAACAGTCCGCCATTGAAACAAAACACCACCGCCCAGCCAACACCCAAACTCCTCCGTG